CACCACTCGTAATTCAAATGCAACATGTAACATGTTCAACATTATGATTCGATGTTAGAGGCAATCTTGTAAAGTATATCGTTCAGAACGACATTTAAAATATTTTAGATGACGAAGTCCTAATAACAGTAGAAAACTAAATGTTAAAATCAATAAACTATACATGACAGCTGGTGAATCCAAAATATTTCTTAAGTTATGTCTAATATACTTCGTTCTATTTCACAGGAAACACTTGCCTCGTATTATTTTGGTAACAATGAAATACTGTAGCGAGCTCAGGGTTCCAACTTCCGATTGTGGAGGGGTTGTATGACTGATTAATTTATATGCCTGAAAACAGGTCTTGGGTTGCGTCTTCAGTGGATTGCTTTGTGAATTTGTTAGTGTAACACCCCACGAATCTGTAATCAGTATCGAAATTGAGTCTTGACGGGCATTTATAAAATTATACAGAAAAAAGTTAATTATTTATTAACCACAACAATTACTAGTTTATACAGGCTGAACAATATATATGTATAAATATAGTATACACAATTAAAACAATATTGGCTACTATCGTTATATTATCTGATCCTAAGACTCGAGAGACAAAAGGGACTAATAAAAGGCTTTTCTGGCATTCATGATAGTTATACGTTGTAAGCTCTGGTATCAATATCAGCATTTCTCTAACTCGACATACCTTTTTTCCGTAGGTTTAATTGAAGCGTCCCAATATCAACTTTTTTTTAGTTTATGGATATTTGAGATGATAAGTTTAATCATCTTAAATTTTTTTACGTAACAACCACACACTAGGTATAGTGTCCGGCTGGGATTGTGCTTTTACGAGTGATTTGATCGGGTTTTTTTTAGTGTGACCGTTTTGTTCGAGTGAATATGATCAAAATTGATCAAAATTGTAAACACCCAGACTTCCGTTTTGGTGAGACGTAAAAAAAAGGATGCTAGAACCTTAAATACAAGATCATATATAGAAGGTAAATTAGTATTATGGATAAAAATATATTATCAACCCTACATTATTTTGTTTTAAAAACGTTTAATTTAGCCTTACAATGCTTTATTCCAAAATATAGATTGAAGCAATTTTCACATACCAATTGCAAATGTCAACGGAAATGCATACATGGAATCTATATATACTTAGATATACAGACACTGTACAAAAATTCTTGTTTTTGCATTGAATAGGACACTGTTGAGAGTAAATTCATTTTTATATGTCCCTGTTTTATCGAGTGAAAAAAATTCCTTTGACTTAAAATGTAATATGTAAATGCATTTACGTTTAAAAAGCAACGAAAAGGTTCAAATAAAGAACTTTTCAAAGGCACGATACAATGCTTTAAACCAGTTTGATAATGCTGTATTAACACGTACATTTCATAAAAAGGCATCGTTCATTTGTATTCAGAAATCTTTATGTTAGTGTATCGATATAGATTTCATACAATAAATATTTCGTGATGTAAACAATCTTTATGTGAGCTCAGACATGTTGGATTGAAACGTACGTACACATAGTGTGTAAAGCGGGTAAATGTGTTTTTTTTTAGGCAGAAAACACATTCTCAATGTTTCATTTACTATTTGTCTTGATTGTAATATGTTTTATGGTTCTTGGAATGGAAATCAAGAAAATGTTCAAATGATCCTACTGTGAAGAGGAGTCTGATCAAGCGTATGATATGCTTATACACACAGAAATAAAGCACCATCATAGCTTCATTTCCATCAGAAATTAAAAGAATAAAAACTGACAATGTATATTTGTAAGGTGTTCGCATATTATATACACATTTTGGTTTTTTTTTTTTTTATTATTTCAAAAGGATCGTATTAAAGCTTACAGATTATTTATTTCGTTGTGTATCAAATACATTGGATAAGTCCCCGAGCTTAACATCAGCACAGTAGTCAGTCCTTTGGTACTGACATGATTTATAGCACACCTTTCTAAAATTGTTTATCTCCAAGGGGGACTGGGGAATAGAAATATTGTCACTTAGGTCCTCTTCCGACCGGCAGTAAAACCCTTGTCAAAGTGGGGTGTCCGTTTGGCTGGGCGAGATGTTACAGTACGCAGGCACGTCCGGTCAGAATGGGGCGTGAAGATATAATGCCAGGCTCACTACAACAGCTCTTTGAGGGGTCCATAGGTGGCCTGTTGCAATGCAAAATTTCTGTCCATATCCACTATACCCTCATTTTCAGTGACAGTCTAATTTTCCCGAACGTCCTCTATTACATGACTTACCTATTGGATTAATTGTTAATTTGTTCTCGTCCTGAACATGCATGAAACATTTGACACTGGACGTTCAGCAACCAACAACCAATCATTCAAAATGTCTGTTTTTAAATTCAAGAATTATTAAGAAAATTAAGGTTTCAACTCCATCAGTCAAAGTTGACTTTAGATGGATTAGGCTATTTTCTACCAATTTGAATTGTAATATTGAACCCAGTGTACAAATATAGAGTAAATGAAAATACACTTTATAAATTTCGTGTGTCCAGAGCGCTTTTCAGAAAGAAAAAATATACAATATTGCTATCATTATGCAACACAAGACAAAAAAATAAAATTTGTTGTATAATCGAGTATTGTTTTGTAATAAAGAAACAAGACTGGTTAACAACTGAACGCAATAGGAAAGATTTTATAAAACACAAAAAGTAACACGCTATAGTAAAGGTATCTGTTGAAGAGTTATTTAGTAACTTTCTTTGGTCTGTGAAAACAGGAAAATAACGATCCCATGAACTCTCGGAATACCGATTTCTTCACTTGATGGGATCCATCTGAAAATACATACGAAACATTACGAAAAAGATATTTCCAAGCAAAACAAATATAAACAAAAATATGTGATACTTTGTTTCGAATTACATAGTAATTAGTACTTTCATATACCTATTTTCTTTTTCTTGTCTTTCTTTGCCTTCGTCTTCGTTCTTTCATGAGCATTATTGAATAAATTATGTATCACTGTCTTCTTGTCTTTTCTGTCCTTTTCTATAATTTCTTTCTCGTTATTTTGCAGCAAAGTTAGTTCAGTTTGTCTCTGTAAAATCAGGAATGTCATATACATCGAGTTCTTTGATTACATTACATTAAAAATATATAAAAAGCGATCTGTTTTGACAATATGTAAATATCAATCATATTTTGCTTGTATATATATACATATGTATAATGAGCATTTTTAATGTTAGCAAATAAAATATATAAATCACCTAACAAAATTGTTGAAATGGGAGATCAAAATCGAAAACAAAGGGAAGAATACAAATGCTCAAAATGCAAAAATCAACATTGATGATACACATAGACTGAAACACAAGCAAAGACCAATACGAACAAACAAACACTTGAAGCAATATTGATTGGACGAGAGTTATATTAAAGGTCAGATATATGCTTTGAATGTGAAACCTGGATAACATTTAAGTGGTCAATGAATGTAATAATTCATGCAGCGAGAATACTACTTTAATACTAGTTTGGTGCATTATTTTTTTGGTATATTTAATGATAACACTATGTAATTTATTCTTGTTCCCTTTTGAGATGGTTTTTTAAGACAGATTTACTATAAGATTATAATAAAAGATGAATGATACAATGTTGATTTTTTTTGGTCACTTGGTCAATATGATTAAAATTCTGATCTATCTGAACTCGCGTGCTCGCATATATAAGAGGATAACGAAATCGGAGATCTATATTTTAATTTTATTGAATTTTTTGTCTGTTGGAAAAACCTGTCCAGTTTATGAGAAGTAACTCGGAAGTTATTCTCATTTTATATATATGTAGATTTTATTTTATATATATGTATATTTTATTTTATATATATGTATATTTTATTTGATACCTTTAAAGCTTCTGCTATCCATGTAGGCTTTTCCTTTTGACGGACGTTATCTACAGAGTGGGGACCTGCAAACAATCACGTATAAAACATTCATAAATATCAAAATATACAGATTAAGGATAAAGACAATCATTTTAATCCCGATACACCCCACCTTGCATGATATTTGATATATACATATGAATTAGAAAAAAAAGCAAAGTTTGTAAATTGTCTAATTTGATTGTTGTTTAATCAACTTCCAGTGGCATATATTTCATACATATTCCGAACGATCAATTTTAAAAATGAGTTCATTTCGTCTGGTATTTAGCTTTTCTGGTCTAACCTTATTCTTATCTTCACTGTTTTTGGTTTATTCTTAAGATCGCTGAGTGAAATGCAGTATGGGTATTAAAAATATCTGTTACGGAAACAGGAAACTTAACTTGAGAGACTAGCCATTTTTTTCTTTTTGTAATCTTTGCAATTTTACTTTCAAGACAACGAAAGCAGCTGACAAAATTATTTTTGTTCTTTTGCTATTGGCACATCCATTTTACTTATGTATCCATACTATAAACAAAAGAGACATAAGACACCAACAGGACTTAAAAAACATGAGTCGAAGAAAAATCATACAATACCATGGCAAAAAAGACACACAACAGTCTACAAAACACCACCATAGAAAACTATGAACCTAGCAACATGAACGCACCAAAACCTCTTTTTTCATGTTTTTTGGGGGAAGGGGTCTCCGTACTCCGGACGTGTTGGCGAGCAGATCCAGACACTTTACTATGGTAACATAACATATAATTCGTCTATATGTCTGTGTCTGCGTTTGTATGGGTGGTTTCTAACTAAAATTCTACTTTTTCATCTTGTTAAAAAAAAATTGCTCGTCTTCCGTCTGTTTTTTAATAAATTGATATACTTTAGGAAGGAATATGGCAGTTGTTTTTCACTTTTTCCGTTGATTAATAGCGTTTGATTTTGTCAGTTTTTTTATGGACTTCCCCTTTTGGAATTTGGTATTTAAAGTCATCCACCTTCCTATCAAAAAGTATGTCGAGCGTCATTGGTCAATTTATCTCATAACAAACTTACCTCTGTAAATATACCGAAGTCCATGTGTTATGGCGGAATTTGTTGTTATGATTTTTTCAAACGGAGATTGGAGTACAAGTGTTCCTACTTCATGGTTACTCGCACTCGTACACGATATGCTGCAATTTTCGGTGGAGGAATTTATGCTCATATTGTCCGCTGTTATTGACAAGCTCTGGATCTTTGCTTCCAGTGTTCTCCACAGTTCTTCGTCAAATTCGATGACAGCTTCGTCAATTAAATCGGACATGTATTGCTGGATCTGTTTTAGTTCATTTTCTTCTTCCCTAGCTGATCTAATGGTTGTCCCAAAAATATCTTTCACTTAAAATAATTAATGGAAATAATATGAACTGCTGAAAATGACAATTACACGGAAAATCATTTTGGTAAATTTGATTATGAATTTCATTCCAAATATTTTCGATAGGACATCCTCCCTTTGAAATAATTTGTCGTTTGGAAATAATCTTTTAAGCTTTTTGCCTCTACTGTGCCTAAATAATTTGTTACAAAATAGGACATCACTACTTGGTTTCGCATATTTTTTTCTTTTCAATCATTTTTGTAAAGTTATAAAACGATGCGAAATACAACGATTCTAGTCATGGTCAGTGACAAGAGTTATTAGATTTTTCTTCGTAAACATAGTAATCTATTTCAGGAGTTTTTCAGCAAACTTGTACCTCGCCAACGTCAGTTCTGAATCTATTTGACATTAACACAAAATTAAATATGTATTCTACTATGTGAGAATGAAAAAATTTACAGGAATTCCGCTTACTTCGTGATGATAACGTGAAAAACTTACCAACTGTTCTTTGAGTGATGTCCTGTGTAATCATTTTAGTCTCTTCTTTATCGTCCTGTTTGAGTAATATACTATCCATTTGTTTTCCAATACCAGCCAAGTCATCAATAACTTCATCTAAAATGAACATATTACTACTGTCAAAAAAGGAGTCCCTTTAAAGTGAGCAACGAAACATAACGAAACCGAACGAAACGAAACAAAATATTTATAGTGAGAAACGAAACATAAAAACGAAAAGAAACAAAATCAGTATTTTAAGGAACGACTTATGGAAAATAAAAATCAGTTGCAAATGCCTTATCTCAAAAGATATATACGAGACAAAAAAAAAAACAACTACTAGTAACATAAATACAATAGACATAAATCACCGATATAAAAGTACTCACATTTATTGAAATCTAGTTCAAAGCGAATTACAACTAATAGATCAATCATGTTCTCACAGACTAAAGTATCAATCAGCAAACATCCAATGGATTTAGTATAAAGACTTCAGAAATAGTCTTCGAAAACTATGACTGTGTGCGAAATTGGTATACACCATGCCTAATTGACTATTCATTTTGAATATGGTTAAAAGTGATTCTGATTTCTCGTTTCGTTTCGTCCGGTTTCGGAACGACTTATAAAAAATCAAAATATTACCAAATAAAGAAACAATACTAGTTATTTTAGAATTCCCGATAATTTTAGAGTGCTTATTAAGTCACTCTTTTCTAAATAAGACTGCACATGATGGGTCATCGTATATTTTAAATGACTATAACATCTAAATATTTTACTTATTCACTTATTTTCTTAGATTTATTCTATTTAATTTCTTTTTACTTTCTTCTTTCCTTTTTTGTTGGTGTACTTATTGTATTCTGCGTATATCAATAAGACCAACCTATCAACTGATGTTCTTTTTGTCCTGGTTTTCGATAATCCCTCATCTCCTCGATTTCAATCAAATATTCCAATTCTGCAGCTGTTGTTTACACCCTTTTGAAGTCAGAAATGGCCATCCTTGTCTCAGCTTCGATAAACGCAAAGGGATGTTCAACGTCCAGCACTACAATAGAGCATTAAATAGATTTTTTGTATATTGAGTGCGAATAGAAACCCAAACTCTACGTGTATTTTCCATTTTAAAAAATCAAACCGAAGTTAAGCAATTATCAATATAAGATTTTGAAGACGTTATTTCTCGACACTTTTAGATATTTTCGATTTTCAGATTCAGTGTTCAGATTTTGACGTTAACAAATTCAACGTTTTTATATAAAATAAAATTTACTTTGGATGGCAAATTACCGACATAAAGAACCCATACAGCAAAGGTTATCAATAAGTAATGCAGATTAACATTTTCCTTTGCATTTGATCCAGTTTGTTCACATTTGGAAGAAAACTTATTGAATTTGACCCCTATCTGACTAATCACAAGTACCTAAACAGAAAAAGTTCTATGCGAGACCTAACTGTTAGAGGAGCACTTAGAAAAATGTTCGCGGAATATATTGCAGGAACATTTTAGTACTTTTATTCAAGAGGGAACCAAAGTACGCCTATCATATGGTGTGTTGCGTATCTATAGACACTTGTCATAGATATCTTTTGCTTACTGTTTTGTCTTCCTGTATTTGATTGTATTTAAAAGGGGTCATTGCGGTCTTCAAATTCTATGTGGCTGTGTATTTAAGCCTTTTTTTATTATTGGTTCACTGTATTACTTTTAAACATGGTGAATCTGTGTCCTTTTTCTTCTTCTTTTTCTTTCTTTTTTTTTTTACATTTGCTTATATAACTCATCTTTACTTGTGTGTACACTATACGAAAACAAACCTATCAAATGGTCTCCAGAGTCTTTTCTTGACCCTTGACTGCCATGATCTCCTCTGATCTTCTCAATTCCAATCCAGAAGTTCAATTCCTCAATTGTTGTTGCTTCTTTTTTGAAGTTGGCAAGCAGTTTCTTCACTGGCGCTTCAATCAGCGCAAAGGGATTTTCCAGTTCTTCAAGCGCGAAAACAATCAACTGATTAATTTGTTTTACAAAATTAATAACCGAGCACAATTTCATGTCTGATAAATATTTAACAAAACAAACAAAAATAAAGGAAAAATCAGTAAAAATTTCAGAAAAATATAGGGATATACAAATAAATAAGAAGCAAAGAGAATGTTAAACTTGTACTTTCCAGGGTCGTCAATTCAGTTTTGCAAGCTTGTGGACAAGCTTTCAGTAACTGCGCGATAAATCTTAGATTTGTAACTTTTTTTGTATCATTTGTTTTGTGCTAAGTACTAGTAATATCAGATAAGTCAACGAGACAACTATCCACAAGAGAACAAAGGGCGTGAAGGTAAACACTAAAGGTCAACGGGCGGTATTTTATAAATGAGCAAAACCTGGTGGTTCAAAAGAAGTAAAATAAATGTGAAATGATAACGAACATATAATGAACGATGGACATCAACAGTTACTAATGACACCAAAAACTGTTGAATCAACTATAACTACAATTTCACAGATATAAACCGATAAAATTAAGTAACATCAGACAATGCAAGAATGTTTTTTAATAATTGCGATTTCAATGAAACTTTTGTCCTGACAAAAGATAATTTCTAAAAGGGGCCATATTGGTAAAATATGGGGGGGGGGGGGGGGGGGAGGTCATCGATCAATTACATCGGAGCCTAGAATTGCATACCTGATTCGTTATACAAATCTCTAAGTACTGGTTTATCAAACTGCTCTCTGAGTTTTTCCGTTTTTGTCTAAAACTGTAATTCATCACTTGTTGTAGATGCCTTCTTGAACTGAGAAATTAATTTCTTTTTTTCTGCTTCTAACAATTCGTAAGGATGACTAAAGTCTGCCATCTATCAAAAATATTAGCAAAAAATTATGAGGTGATGACTTTTCCCTTTTTTTTCGTATTATTAGACATAGAAGAAATTTATACTCTGAAACCTCATAACGCTTGTGAAACTTGTCGAGATTTAATTTTTAGTAATGTTTTAGTAAATATTTTAATAATCAGTTCCAAATTGTTGATTGAAGTTTGCTTAACGTCCTGTGGTAAATATTTCATGCATTTTCAGGATGATCAGTTCCAAGCAGAACAAGACAATTGTAACAATTCGAATAAAAGGCTAAATTTCCTGTGAAACTTTCCTGCAATGGCCACATATGATCGTTATTCTTTTATTCATTTAGCAAAAACATGTGCATTTTCCACCCATTTTTCATGTCGACAAATTTCACGGTCGCGTGCAAGACATTATTGAGTTGCATTAAAAAAATATTAGCTGTAAGTGTGTTTTGAAGTGTTTTCCTATTGTATATAGTAACTTATTTATTGTTGGAGACAATATATTGACCTCTAGATGTCGTGTATTTTGTATTGTTCGGTTGCTGTCTCATTGATTATTTTTGTTTTTTCAGTGATTTTTTTTGTGAGGTGGGAGAATAATATTATGATGATTATTATTGTCATTGCTATTCTGTTTGTTTTTATGAGTGGAAGTGTATAAGAAGTAAAAGTGTCTTATAAACAAACGTTTTGGGATATTCAATTATAACGAAGTTGTTTCTGGTGACGCGAAATAAACTTTGAATAAAAAATAAGTTAATTTACGACAAATGCTACTTTAAAAGGAATTACTTTCTTACCTTTGATATGCGTTTTGTTCAGGTGAGGATTTACCAATTATTTCTAAAAAGCTGTTGTATTCTTCGAAAAACTTTATGGCGGCCTGCTTTGAATCAAGGAACGACAACGTTGATAGCGATATTACTGTGACGTTTTTTGTGTATTGTTGTGTATTGTCTGTCGGGGGTAAAATATATGTAACGTTGCACGACAGTTTGTCACAGTCATAGTAAAAAAAGAAAATGCATTTTTTTCGGGAAACATTTGCGATTTTACACGTATTCCAAAGATCATGATGATGATGATTATTCCTCACCCAATATAAATAGTATACAGTTTATAGTTTAGCTAAAATTCGTATTATGTTTATACAGAGAAAATTAAAAGCATTATCAAATTTAATTTTACTTTATCAATGTAAAAAGTTAAGCCATCATTGCAAATAAGTTCTGAAAAATTGCACATGGCCACACCCTTCCAAATCTGTTTTCAATAATATGCGTAACAACACAAATAACGCACTCGTACATTTTACCATAGTGTCACAATTTCTTGTTATGGCTACAAATTTGTAGAAATCTATTATATTTTAAGAATATACTTGAACTTATAAATGCAGAGTTTACAGAGAAATTTTCGTTAAAGTGGTGACAATAAAGATTTCAATCACAAAAGTCAAAAATCAAAAGTCTGAGATAAGCCAATTTCAAATTGGTCATTAGACAATAACTCGATAAAGAAACTGAAAATCAAAGTCATTTTCGTTGCTTTCGGGTGAGAAGGTACATACTTTTTTTTGTTAAAAATGTGTTTTTGAGATGTCAACATTGAAATCAATAAAATTCTCATTTTCACAGAATTTGATGTTTATTGACGTTGTGCAACAAATTTGGACCTAATTCAATCATTTTTTGCTTATATGCTATCGAAATTTCTTGTCATCTTGTCATCGCAACTCCTCTGAAATAACATAACAGAATTTCATGAAACTTTGTAGATAATAAGGACATAACTTATATATGTGCATATCAGCAGGAAATTATGATTCAGTTTGTTTTCTAGGAGTTAAGCCACTTTGAACTTAGAATTTTGACCTAAATATACTACTACAACAGTTTGTCAGCGCAACTCCTCTGAAACCACACAACAAAATTTCATGAATCTTCGTAGTTAATGAGGACAAAATATGTAGATGTGCAATAGTCTTTTGCTTATAGTATCTGAGATACAGACCTTATCACGAAAACTTAACGTTGACAAAAGAACCATGAAAATGAGGCCAAGGTCAGATTAGAGTACACTGTTGAAATTCTTAAAGGTAAGGGGTTTTTCTACAAATATCTTATAAACTTTACATAATAATCCATGATAATAAGGTCAAGGTCAGATAAACCTTGCCAGACAGACATGTACGTCTTTATCATCACTCCATACACTGATTATAGATAACCTATTGTTTATAGTATTTAAGAAACAGAGTTAACCAGGAAAACTTAACATTGACCAATGAACCATGAACATGAGGTCAAGGTCAGATGACTTCTACCAGACTAACATGTACACCTTATAATCATTCAATACACCACATTAAGTTGAACTTTTGCTTATTATATGTGAGAAATGGACCTAATAATATAACTCTAACCTTGATAAACCGATCCATGAAATGAGGGCAAGGTCAGGTGAATTCTGTCTGAGAGACATGTAGACATTGTCAGGAACCCATATATAATTATCCTATTACTAATAATAAGTAAGAAATTCACATGACTAAAAACCTATACATGTTTTTAAGTACTGAACCATGAAAATAAGGTCGAGGACAATGGACATAAGAGGAGACGTTGTAACATAAGGCATCTCTATACAAAGTATGAAGCATCCAGGTCTTCTACCCTCTGAAATATAAAACTTTGTACAGAATGTTTTGCACACTTTAGAATCATTGTGTGCATCAAATATGGTGACCTATTGCTTTCATGTCTGAGAAACGGACCTACCATATTGATCACTTATCAATGAAATGAGGTCAAAGTCTGGTTAACCCAGTCTGACGAATATATATACCTTGCAATGATTCTATATACCAAATTTAGTTTACAGATTATTGATAATATGTGAGGAAATATGTTGATGAACAAATTATTCTGTTTTTTTAAAGTCACTGAACCACAAAAATGAGGTCAAGGACAACAAATATGTCAAACGGAAACTTAAAAATAAAACGAATCTGTATACAAAATATATAAAATATCCAGGCCATTCAGTCATAAACTTTACTCACTCAGAAAAATATGTGCTTGAAACACCAAATCCAGTATTTTTATTTATTGATTTTCGATAATTGTACTCCAAAGTCTTTAAGCTTGTAAGCACAGACACTTGTCTAAGA